CTCTCTCTGCCCCTCCCCCATTCATGCTCTGTCTCTCTCTGTCCCAAAAATAAATAAACGTTGAAAAAAAAAAATTAAAGAATAGCAGAATATATGCTGAATCATTAGTTCTCTGAGAACACAGAATGATATAGTTTAACAATTAGCATTTTAGATGAATATGCAAATAAAAACACTGAGGCCCCAAGAAGTGAGTAACTTGCCTCAGTCACACAGCTAATAAATGGCAGCAGTAGGATTCAAACCCAGGCCTTCCTGACTCCAAAGAGCCTGAGATGTTTCTAGTATGCCAGGGGCTCTTACCTACAGTGTATATCAGACTCACTGGAGAACTTTTTCAAAGTACAGACACACAAGCTTCAACTCAGAACTGAGTTAGAATCTCCAGGTTCAGGACACCTAGGGCTTTGTTTTTTGTTTTTTTAAACAACTTTCTAGTTAACCCAGCTGCATGCCAAAGTTCAGTAACCACACTGCTGTACCATACTGCTTTATGGTCCTGTAGAAATGGTCCTTGCTGAGGTAATAAAAACTTCTACGTTAATCCTTTATATCTTATGAGAGTTTTTCGTGAACTAGCAAAATCTTAACATTTTGTAAATTTTCATGATAGTTTCTGCCTTAGTTTACTTGTACTTATTTGTGTTTAACTGTTTTCAACTTAGATTATATCCTTTCTTTGTAAGTCTTTCTTGTTCAAGAGCTAACTTGCAGAATCTGTTGATTTGCCCTTACACAGCATTGCAAAATTTCTCCCAAAAATGTTGTAAGCTCTTTTCTGCTTTGGACCCCTGGTGCTCCACAGAGATTGCCCTTTAGGTTAAGGGACCTTACCTTTTTTCCCCCAATTAAAAATAGTAGGCAAATTTTGTGGGCTACTGGAACTAAATAACATAGTTATATCTGAAAAGAACGAGTCAGTACATTGAATAAAGATCAAAGATTCTCATGATTATTAAAGATATTATGACTTTCCACGTTCCCCTGGGAAGTAGCAACTGAATCCCCTGTGGATATCTCCAAAGTCAGGTCATGTGGGTAACAAAGTTGATTGTAGAAATCCAAGTTCAGGACATCTACATTGTTTCAAAAGCATAACATAAATATCATGCCCCCACCCCCACCCCTTGTTCAATTCCTGCTTCTAATAAAAACAGAGTTGTAGTGTCTGCCTACAGATGTCCTACCCAAGGAGATTATTGAATCCAGAAAATGTCTCTTGTCTTCTTTCTGCTGAATTTTCTCATTTCGGATTTGCAGAGTTTCTCTCTTGCCTCTGGGCTGTCAGTAACTATTGCCATAAATGGAATAATCTCTTGTGTTTAAAACAAATTAAGAGAGAGAAATACTTGTCTGTGTAACATCGAATCAATAGAACACTCCTACACTTTCCAAGAGAAATGTGTAGCTTTGTTATCAGTTTGAAATGGTTAGATCGCCTCTCAGCTGTGCTCTTCCAGTGACCACAGAAGTGTCCTGCCTTTGTCAAGAAAAGGGTTTCAGAAAATGGAAACACAGCAGTCCTCTGCTTGAGTTTTCATATATGGCAGGTAATTACTTGCTCTTTACCTTCTCACTCCTGTGCCGTTAAATAAAATATATATGAGAAGGAATATGATAAACTCTTAGAACCTAAAATAATTATATGAAGTTCCTTATTGGTGGATCTTCAGTGAAATTTTTAAAATTTCTTTTCTTCGCTCATTTTTGTTCCATCTGTTTTTTTTCTTACCTTTAGTGAATGTCTCACATCAGCAAAAGAAACTTTCAGAAGAGCTGGTGTCCACTGAGGACCCATTTGCAACATTTCCTCTGTCCTCCGGTTTTGTCATTATTACGAAAGCGAAGGTTCTATGCTGATCCTTTCCAGCCACGTTTGCAGTCAATGCAGAGGACCCAAGGGAACACTTTGTTCCTTCTACTTGTAGTAGTTGTCCTCTGTCTTTCATCCCACCAACACAAAAGAGCTGGTAACCAAAGGATTTCAGGAATTTAGCTCCCATTCATGGTTCTGTTACTGTTCTTACAGTAATTCATTTCAATTTAACAAGCAACATTTGAGTCTTTTCAATGAACTGGGTGCAGTCAAGCATAAAGAAATAAACAAGAATCAAGGAATTTACCAACCAGAGGGGGTAATTTAAGCCCCTGACTTTAAAAATGGACACAAACTTTCAAAACTAATTTTCACCAAGTATGGTACCTAGATATCAGACCTGTCGGTGGAGCTGGTTAAGAAATACAGCTTCCTGGGTTGCATGCCAAACCTATTGAGTCAGGATCTCTGAGCTTAGAGTAAGGAAGTCATTCTTAACCCGTGCCTAGATTTCTCTTAGGCCTACACAGGTTGAAAACCACTGATGCCCTGTAACTGGTCTGGACAATTATAAAGGAAGATGAGTCATACACTATTGTTCACCAGCAATTATCCATGTTAACGCCCCAGCCGAAGAAGTTCTTTTCTTGGGATCAGTTAAAGTCAGCCAGGGAACTTGACGTGAAATCAAACTCCTGGTGTGCCCCCGTCATTTTGTATTTAGTGGGTGTGGGATGGGCTCTGGAGATATGCATTTTTAACATGTATTCTGGTGATTTCAATGCAGTTCACTTGTGGATAACACTATGAAAAGCACTGACCTGTTGGATGGCAGTTGGCTGTAATCTCATCACTCTATTTAAGTATTGTTTTGTTAGAGGCTGTAGCAAAATGGTGAGAGTCCAGATGAGACCAGTCGTATTCTTGGGCCTGGATATCGTAAAATGTGACCCTCACTTAGCACTATGGTTTGAACTGATGCAGCCAATTCACTGATTTATTCCAATTAACCATAATAAATGCCATCTGGATTAGAAAACTTAGATATTTTAAAAAATAAATTACACTGTGTTCACTCAGATATGCCCTCTCATAAATGTAAATTAATAAATAGAATATAGATTGGAACACTATCTCCTGTAATAGTAATTATCTCCTAAAATAATAATGCGGTAAATGTGGTATTTTGACATTGCACAGGTGGTCTGAAAGTACAATATTGGCATAACAGTATTCTCTGCTTTTAAAGTCATAAAAGTGAAGGCAAAGGAAAATCTGTGTGTGGTAGCTTACATCATGTGTGAGGAACCCCACTGCGGGAAGGATGGACACACAAGTCATTTTCTACCTAATACTCTTATGTAGCCAGAAGTCAACACAGGCCAAAGTCAAAGACTCCACAGAAACCCTGAATAAATTTCTTGTGAATGAAATCTGTCATGTAGACTCAAAAAAGAGCCTTCTACAAATCCATTTATTAAAAGGGGGGGAATTGTGTGAATTTTAGGTAAATTTATCCCCAGATACCCAATTCGTTGTATGAGTAACATGGACTATAAGAAGGAAAGCGTTTAATTGTGAAAAACAGTATTTAACATGCATATGATTCATCAGGATTAGAAAAGCTGTTAAAAACTTTTCTGGAAGAACTAGAATGACTTTTATTGAGAAGGTCCCTTAGACACATCAATCCCAATGTCAGAAAAAGCATTGAGGAGTGATCTAACTTCCAAATTCTTTTCAGAAGTGTAGTTAACACCCTACTGAAAAGGCTGATCCTGCAGTGCAGGAAGACGGTAGGTCAAAGATAGGAGTTTATTAACTTGCCACACCGGTGTGTGAATTTGACTTCCTTCCCTGGTCACCTTCACTGGATTCCCAGAAGGGCAAATGAACATGGTCATGCCTGAGGAGAGACCAAGATGGCGGAGCAGCCTGGAAGGTTTTTTTTGTTTTTTTGTTTTTGTTTTTGTTTTTTTGCCTCTCGTCCCTGAAATGCAGCTAGATCAATGCCAAACCATCTTGCACACCTAGAAAACTGAACGTGGTCTTGCCTGATTCAGATGAGACCTGATTCCTCTGACTACCTAAGATTAACTTCTTACTATTCAATTTAAAAAGCTTAGGGTAGATCTCTAATGGAGAGAAGAAACCTGCTACTCAGGATCAAAGATGATCCTGAAAACATTCTTTTGGATTGAAGAAAAACAGAGGGCAGTCTCTGCTACTGTATTATGATGAAAACCACAGACTAATTTTCTCTGCTCCTAACCTTTTAAAACATTCAGCCTTACTTTTCCTCACTGTTCACATACCATACCAAGTCTACAGTAAAATTTCATTTTAACAGAATAGTTGAAGCAAAGACCATTTTATTAAAATTGTGTTTGCTGAGAAAATGGGAAAACCAATTTAACCTCAGGACTTCTGTGTGGAGGGGAAAGGAGAGACTGTTCCATCTGAGTCATTGTAATAAAAGCTAAAACTGCCAGTGCTCATTCCTTTTCCCTTTATAAATAAATTAGAATATTAAGAAATCAATTAAAATCCCATAAAAAGTACATAGACTCACGTAATTGTCTTACTAGACAATAACTACCATTGATATTAGAATGAGATTATATAAAAGTTTTATTTGTTTTACCCATTACAAAGTTGCTTCATTTGTTATTTTCTAATTATGTTTGTGCTGCTGAGACATCTTGTTCATCTGGGCCAGTTAACCAAGTTGTTTTGAACTTGTGCCCATAAGACCTCCTTTGTAAAGGCCTGTGATTTTGCTAGTACTTGGTAAAGGCTGGTCATTTTGCGCTGAAAAGCACATTTCCCAGCCCAAAATGGAAACAATCACCAAGGTATGAACACAAAGCTGCCTTGTAGGGGAAAAGAGGATGGGGTGGGATACAAATGACTTCACCTTTCCTTCACCCTGCAGGAAAAGTTCAAAAGATACTCCTTACTGGTAATTAAAACTGATTTTTTTTTTTTTAACATTTATCAAATTAAGAGGAGCGGAAATTGTACTATACTGACCGAATCGCATAAGTAAAACAAATGGCTCTTGAGTAAATGCCTTCTTTGAGTGATATTACAAACAAAACCAGGTTTGGGAAATGACCATGAAACAAGTCAGCGAAATGTGGTGATGCCGCTCTCTGCATATTGATTTATATTTATGTTTTAGCTGTTTGAAAAGGTCAAAGAAGTCTGTCCAAATGTGCATGAGAAGATCAGAGCAATCTACGCAGATCTCAATCAGAATGACTTCGCCATCAGCAAGGAGGACATGCAGGAGCTTCTCTCCTGCACGAACATTATCTTCCACTGTGCGGCCACTGTGCGCTTTGATGATCCTCTGAGGTACATTCTTTGTCTCACAGCTTGTATGTGTACGTATGTGTGCGCATGCACGTGCGTGTGAGTTCCTTCGTGGTCTCTGTTAAAATATAAATAAATAAATAAATAAATAAACAAACAAACAAACAAGCAAACAAGTAAATATATATATATATATATATATTCTCAATAAGTAAAAATATAAAGGAGTAAAACTCCTCCAAAAATTTCACCATCCAGAGATAACCATTCCAACTTTACTTTACACATCCATAATAAAATAGATTTATGTCCAACTTTGCCAAAAAATAATGGCATCATACTGATAATGTTTTAGCAATTTGCTCAATTCTACTTTTGGATGTCTTTCATTGTCAATAAATATTCTTTTGTAATTTCAAATGACTACATGACATTCCATTGTATGTGTATATAATATACTTAAGCAGTTCTGTTTTAGTGGATATTTTTGGATTATTCTAATTTTTCACTATTATAAAAAACTCTTCAATGAACATCTCTGTGCTCGCATTTTGTAAATCCTTGTGTGCTTTACTTTGGGGAAATGTCCAGAAGTAAAATTGTTAGAGATGTACCAGATAATGCCCAGGTTATAAACAGTTTATGTTTAATGTTTAACAGTTAATGATAAATTGTTTTCCAAAAAGGCATGATTGAAGTAATTGTCCCTGTGTGCATGAATGCTGATTTCTGACACCCGAATAGCACGGTGTTAGAATCCTTTAATTATTTTTAATGTTGCCAATGCAATGAAAATGCCATTGCATATTTTGATTAGAAAAGTTGAAGATGCTGAAATGCTGAGTGGCATTTTATTCTTTCATGAAATGCCGATTCATGTTCTTTGACTGTTTTTCTGTTGAAACACTCTTCTCTTGTCAATTTTACGACTTCTTGGAAGTCTTAGCATACTAATTGTTTGTCTTTTATAAGGCCCAAAATATTTTAATAGTTTGTCATTTGCCCTCAACTATTTTTATTATTTATGCAGTTATTCATAATTTCTTCTAGAATTTTTATTGCTTCATATTCATGTTTAAGTCTTTGACCCATTTAAAGTTTATTTGCCTGTAAAGAGAAATAAGAAAATTCTATAAAAAGAAAAGTGGTGTGGGTGTGAATGTAGAGTAGCTTTTGAGAAAAATTCTAACAGATGGCTACTTCTTAAGCAACATTTATTAAATGATTTGCTTTTACTCTTTATTTAAAATGAACTCATATACTAAATTTCCATTGTTGAGCTCTTTATTTTGTTCCATTAATTAGGCTTTCTCTTCCAATACCACAGTATTTTATTACTGTAATTTTTATGTTATTAGACAAGCATACACACATCATTCACCTTTTATAGAATTTTCCTTGCTATTCTCATCTGCTTATACTTCTTGATTAAACTTAGAATAATTTTCCCAAGTTCTTAAAAAGTTGGGATTTTGATTAGGATTACCTTGAATATGTCAACTGATTTAGAAAAACTTAACATCTTTAAACCATTTTCTCTTCCTATCAAGAACAATGTATTGTTTATTCAATTTTTGTGACCCTCCATGAAGTTTTATAATTTTCTTTATATATCCCATTTATTTATTATTCACTTGACATATTTTTCAAATGTTCAGCTTTGAATGTGTGCCTTTCTTCCATTATATTCTCCAGTTTTTTTTCCTTTTACATAACCTTATAAATATACACTTTACTGAATGAATTATTGCATATCCCAGGATAGTTGTTTTAGCTTTTTTGTTTGTTTTCCAGAAACACAATTATGTAATCTGATCACAATTTTTGTGACTGTCTTTATAATTTTTGTATCTGTTAGTCAATTTTATTTTCCTCTCTAATTACAAGGTGGAAGTTCAGAACAATAGTTAGCAGTAGTGACTGTAAGCATCCTTCTTGGCCCTGACTTTAAAAGGGGTGTTCCTAACTTTTCACCATGAAGCAAGATACAAGCCAGCAAAGTGAAACAGACATACTTTAATCATTTTATTCTTGTTTTAGTGAATTTTTAAAAAATAAATTGGCAATGGATATTGAATGTCATTTTTAAACTTGTCAAAATCATATAGAAGATCATTTAGTTTTTCTTTTTTAGTTAGATTAATAGGGTTCTTAATATTATATAAGCCATATTACTTCTAGAATCAACTATTTCATTGTCACCACATATTGTGTGTATAGAACTTTGTGTTCTGTTAGCTAAAATTCAGGATTTTGACATCAGTTTTTATGTCTGACCCAGACCTTTGCAAGAGAAATGTATCTTTCTCATTCTATATCCACTGTTGCTCCCCTACAATTTATTTGAATTTTCCAGCTTCTTGAGTCAAAGGCTCAGTTTATGTATTTTTATATTTATGTATTTATAGGGGCTTGAGAAGCCCCTTTACAAATTCATAGGATTATGATTCTCCCCCCTTCTGGCTGATTTAGAACCAAGTGATATCTACATGCACTATGCACAATGCTTCTATGAATAGGATTTATGTGCAAAGAATGCATAATCAACATATAACACATTCCAGGCATCACGTAACTGTAGCCATGACCCATACTTTTCTTCATGGTCCTTTTTTGTTTTTGTTTTTGGGTTTTTTTTATGTTTTATTTATTTTTGAGCGAGAGAAAGCGTGAGTGGGGGAGGGGAAGAGAGCGAGGGAGACTCAGAATCTGAAGCAGGCTCCAGGCTCTGAGCTGTTAGCACAGAGCCTGACATTGGGCTCAAACCCACGAACCGTGAGATCAGGATTTGAGCCAAAGTCAGACACTTAACTGACTGAGCCACCCAGGCGCCCAATCTTCCCGGTCCTTTGGTGCAGCCACAAAAGTCAGATGGACATGCAAGTTATTGGAGTAGATACAGTTCCAGCAAGGCAGGGTGCTGGGTTGCCTCATTGTTCTTCCTTCTGCTTAACCTTCTGCAGGCATGCCGTGCAACTTAATGTCACTGCCACCCAGCAGCTCTTGCTTATGGCCAGTCAGATGCCAAAGCTTGAAGCCTTCATACATATCTCTACAGCCTTTTCAAATTGTAACCTGAAGCACATCGATGAAGTCATCTATCCATGCCCTGTGGAGCCAAAAAAAATCATCGACTCCATGGAGTAAGTTGGGTCAGATGAGGGGGGTCAAGAGGTGGGCAGATAGCTGTTCTCTCTGCTTCTTTGTAGTCATTCATTAATGAGGTAACAAAGTGAGTCATCCTTGAAACTGCATGCTTTGAAAAGGTGCTTGTTTCCTCTCCCCTGTCCCTGCTATTCCTGTTATTTCCAGGGTGGGGAAGTATAGAGGTTGGTGGGGGCGGGGGGTGGGGAGGAAGGCCAGGCATAGATAAATCCCACAGAAAAGTTTTGTTAAGTAGTTTAGGATTGCAAGAGGCACTTGGGAATGCTTTCCGTAGAGGTGGTTTCTCACTTCTTAATGAGCTTGCATGGTCACTAGAGACAAGTAGAGCAGATAGTATGAAAGTGCAGAAGAAAGTCAGACCTACAGGGGTTCTGCAGCTTTATATCTGTGTGACCTTAAGTAGGTTCCTTGGCCTCTCTGAGCCTTAGTTCCTTCATTTGCGAAGTGGGGCTAACAACAATGCCCATCTTGTAGCGATGATGAATTGAGTTCTATGAAGCAGTTGCACTAGAGTGTTGAATAGCAGTTAATCGGTTAATAAAGAAGAACTAATAGGTAAGCAGAAATCCTCCCAGATCTGGCAGAAATTGCCCGTCTTTTGGTCTATTAGGCCCAGATACACTTTCCTTATTGTCCCATTGAGAAGGAAAAATAGCATTTGTCTCTTCTTGCCTGCTAATAGGAACCACTTTCTTCTTAGGACGTGACCATGGTCTCAGACTAAGTACATTTTTGTTTTCTGTGTCTTCATTATTCTGTCCAGTTTACCAAGTTTACCTTGTTTAAAAAAACAAAACAAACAAACTCTGCAAAAAAAGTAATACAGCAGAGAAAATAGACTGTTTCATAGTGCAGTTTGTCAGATTTTAATTTCATATAATACTGGTATTTCTATTTAAGATATACTTTTTTAAATGAAGCTTAGCTAAATCAAGAGTTCATTCCCTTCAGGGCAAACATTTTTATCTCCTACAGCTCTGAGAATAGATATTTTTACCTGTCATTTTAAAATATCCAGGACAAAGAAGAATGAAAGTCATCTAAAGGACCCGGAGGTTACCTAAAGTCACTAATAAGTGATGATTTGCTTAACTGGTGCAAAGGAACCTTCTGAGTCCAGAGCTTGTCGGGATGGCTGGAGAAAAGATGCTCCGACACCCAGAGTCGGTATACGAGAGCAGATGTGGAAACCCCCAGTGTTTTCAGACAGAATCGAATTGTCTGTCAGTCAGCTGCCCTCTACAGTGCTGTCTCTTGTTAAATGTGGTGCTTACGTATTTGCTGCACCCAGAAAAGGGGCAGACCTGCTTTGATTCCAGACTCGACTGCTGAGACTCCAGAGGCCCACTCCACTGTTGACCTGTCCAGGCCCCTGACAGATCACAGCACGATGTGAGGCAGCACTGAAAGTCTCGGAGAGTTTGCCAGAGAAAAGAGATAGGGAATGAGATTCAGTTCTTCCCCAGTAAGGGGCTCCTCCAGGTGCTCCATAGCACTTCCTCCCTCCCAAGCTGTGTCCAGACACTTTATACCCCTAGATTTTATTTTCTTTTTAATTTTTTTAACGTTTATTTATTTTTGAGACAGAGAGAGCAGAGCATGAACGGGGGAGGGTCAGAGAGAGAGGGAGAGACAGGATCTGAAACAGGCTCCAGACTCTGAGCAGTCAGCACAGAGCCCGACGCGGGGCTCGAACTCACGGACCGCGAGATCACGACCTGAGCCGAAGTCGGATGCTTAACCGACTGAGACACCCAGGCGCCCCTATAACCCTAGATTTTAAATAAGAATAAACTCATCTCCCAGAAGAGGAGTTGATTTATCTTCAGGTGTTCAGCACTTTCCATCCTTTGCCACTATCCATCCCCTGGTAAAGGCAGGTAATTGCTACCTGATTTATGGTCAACCTGTAATTGACATTTGTACAAAATTTATGTCTCTCTGTTGTGTAATGCTCTCCAAGGTGTATAATTATTCTTAAAAATAGGCAGCCAAACAGAACTAAAAATGAAATAACTTTTGTCTCCACAGAGTACATTTTGCATGCACTTAAGGAACCAAGGTTTGTTTTTTTGTTTGTGTGTTTGTTTTTTAAACAGGGAAAAGTCATGAGCGCACGTGATTCACTCACAGTGTTACATTCAGGACCACATTCCAGCATCATCTCCGGCAGCCCTCCCTTGCCACATTGAAGTAGTCTGTCCTCTCCCTCATACCTCTCTGCCTTGGCTCGTGACGGTTCTGTTTCTGGAAACTACTTGCACCTCTGCTTCCCTGGTTAATTCCTACTCAGACATCAGAGCTCTCCCCTGGAAGCCATTGCACTGAGGCGGCCTCCTCTGGAGTTGCCGTCGTCCCCCGTGTCCATCTGTATCATTGCTCTTACAAGGGTTATTCTAAAATAGCTGGTTATTTATCTGTGTTCTCTCTTGTGCAGTGAGTTTCGCAAAGGAAGAGAATGTCTCTTGTTTCTTCTTGCTTTCATTGCCAGCTCTTGGTAGGGACTCAAATATTTGCTGAATGAAATGAAATTTTGTTGATGGAATGAGATGACCATTTTTTGCACTGTCCTGGCTGACGTTTGTTTTCTTGTTTGCTCGTTTAGACAAACGTGAGAATAGATGGCAGAATTCCATAGCAAGCTTATATTTGGGGGTGTGAAGTCCTATGCGTAAAACACCTGTATGCCCATATCTTATCCCTATTTCTGAAAGCCCATTTTTTTCTTCTTTTTAAAAAATGTTTCTTTATTTTGAGAGAGAGATAGTGCAAGTGTGTGCAAGCAGGGGAGGGGCAGAGGGAGATGGGGAGAATCTTAAGCAGGCTCCACGCTCAGCACAGAGGACATCGCGGGGCTGTATCTCGTGACCTTGAGATCATGATCTGAGCTGAAACCAAGAAGTGGATGCTTAACCGACTGAGCTACCCAGGCGCCCCAGCCACATTTGAATAATAACTGAAATTAGGAGTTAATGCTTCTTATTAGTATGACAAACATGGCCATTAATCAGCATTAAACAATGGGCTGTTCTCTCTCTTCTACCTGCCGGTGTCCTCTGCCCTTGTCCCAACTACCACAGACACTTGGTCATGGAATTGTGCCACCATTCTTACTCATGTCCCTGCCTTTATATTTCTAGCTTCTAAAGTTGGTGGTATTTACCTTTAGAAACTCATGTGCACGACTAGATCAGGGATTGCCAATGAAATTCCAGTTTTCCAGAATAACAGCTTAAGTAGAATTTTTTTTAAGTTTATTTATTTTGAGAGGGAGAGCATACATGAGGGAGTGCTAGCCCCAGGAAGGGGCAGAGAGAGAGGTAGAGAGAATGGGGGAGAGAGGATCCCAAGCAGGCTCTGCACTAATGCGGGGCTCGATCTCACCAACTACGAGATCATGACCTGAGCAGAAATCAAGAGTCGGATGCTTAACCAACCGAGCCACCCAGGTGCCCTTAGAATGTTTATTGTAAAAATGCACATGACTGACCAGAAAAGATAGGGCTTTGGAATTGGTGCTTTCCATATTTTTCAGGCCAAGTTACCACCTCGTAGGGGAGACAGAAGAAAAGGATTTTTGCACCTGTATAACAACTTGAAATAACTAGAGTCGGGAACTAGAAAAGTGGATCCATAAATATTTACTGCTTTATATAGCATACTTAAAACAGGCTAGTAAATATGCATTAAGAAGGGAAGGACAGCTATGAATCATCACTGAGCAATTATTTTGAGTAAAGACACTTTAACAGACATTCAGTTCCTGACCACAATATTCTAGGGTTGATATTATCATTACTGCTGTACTAATAAAGGAACAAAAGCTCAGAAAGGCTAAGTAACTCTTCAGAAGTCTCTCAGCTAATAAGTCACAGAGACACCATTTTTCTCCATGGCCACATGATTCTGGTCACATGGCTGCAGTCTTTTCGGTACACCCACATATTTGGCAGTGTAAGAGATTAAAAGGTGCTTTCTTAAAATACAGACCGTGTTCTCATGGAGCTCATAATAAAACACAAGACAAAACAGGGTAGAATTATATATGGAGTGTGGTAGAGGAAGTGGGACATATTAAGTTTGATGGAGTTGGCGGAGGTAGAAAGGCTCTGTAAACACAGGCAGGCATAGGACACAGACTTGGAAGAGGAGGGCACATACCAGCCACGGCCACTGGAGCAGGAAAACCGGGCACATGTTTGGGATATGGCTGTCAGTCCACTTCGGCCGCACGTGTGTTACATGTAGGGAAGGTGCTAGAGGTCAAGCTGGGAAGATGTCTGGGGCCATACTGAGATTTTGAGTACCATGTAGAGGATTGTACTTAATTCTGTAGGCACTGGGGATACACCGAAGGAGGGTCGTGTGTGTGTGTGTGTGTGTGTGGACTGGGGTGGCTTTGGTTATTTGTTCCATTTTGTTTTAATCAAAAAAAGACTTTGATGAAAGTGGGCTTTAGGCACATTAATATGGTCGTGGGGGCAGGGGGATAGGTCCACATGGGCAGTCACCAGAGGCAGGGAGAGCCATCACTGGCCAGGGAGAGGGGAGGAGAGGGGTCCTAGGACTGGAGAGGGGCAACAGATATAAAAAAAACACCCCTGTATTTGGGGAGAGAAAAACCAATAGGACATGGCAACTGCTTCACACATGTGCTTGCACATGCCTGTTGGGTCAACCATCAGATCCGGACACCCACAACTGTCACGGCTTCTGTCTCTGGTGCCAGGGATTTAATTCTCTTAAAGTTCAATTCTACTGAAATTTTTACTCCAAGAAGCAATGCCTTTTTGAAACCTAATACCAAATCATTCAAGTCTTAAACTTGTGGAGCGGTGCTCTTTTAAATTGGCGATTTCCCACTTTGCCTGACCCTAAGACTCACCACTCCACTTGTTAAAAACAAAGATTATCAAAATGTCACCCCTAAAGACTGATTTAGTGGTTGTAAGATGGTACCCAGGGATCTGAACTTCTG